TATTTTGGCTGAAATGATGCAACTCAGTTCTATGTGGAAGAGACTACAATTGTCTCACTTGCATTTTTATATATGTAATGGGATGTTTTGATAACAGGATGATTAGTGCGTGTAAAGTAAAAGTGGGTGTTGCTTACATGTGCCAGATATCGCACATGTATGTTGCAATGTAATATATGTGTGTGTTATTACCTGGAAGCCAAAACTTTGTAGATTGGGGTCTCAGAATTCCCCCAAGTTGGCTTTGGCTTGGAAAGTGTCATTGTGGCTCAAAAAAGGGGAATGAATGGAGCTGTATCTTTTTCATGATACCCAAAATTTGTTCTGCCTCTGTGTTACTGAGAAGAAATATTAGATTTTGTTGAAAAGCGTATTGATAATTTTTAGTGAAATACTAGATATTTTTATTATACCTGTTATACTGTTTATTTATACGTGTTGTACTATGTATTTATTATACCATTATATGTTATAGCTATAGATAACACTACAGTTCAAGGCTTAAAAAAAATGAAGAGAAAGAAAAAAAGTGGTATTCTTGAATTGATCTATACAGTGAGTGCCTTGGGGGAAGTACAAGTTTTTGTGTTCAAGAAGCAGCTATACAAAATCATGCCAAAGAAATGCATGGAAAGCTACTAAATACATAGAAACCATGGCTGGCTGATGAAGTCTCTGAGCTGCTGGTGCTTTGAGGTTCAGAGGGTGTTCAGGAGCAGTATCGTCCATGCTTACCATGCTCCTGTGTGCTCCCTGGCCTCTGCTTTTTGCCGTGGTTAGTCCCTTAGCCTTAACTGGTACAACTGCACTGAAGTGCAATATTTGGTTGTGATGCTTCTTTTTTGCAGCACAGATTACTGCAATATAGTGGAAGTTTCTGTTAGCAGTTAATATATGAAAATACTGGCTTTTGTTTATGTGAAAACTCTGCCTGATCCAAACGAAATGGCGAAACCCATGTTAAATTTCATTGTTATGTTCTCATGGGTAGGGTCTGAGTAGCACAGATCTTTAGGTGAGAAAATAAACAGTTGTGATGCCTGTTCTGTCCCTATCTCATTTTATAAGCAGTAGCTTGTGCTTCAGTGTGTCCTCCTTCATTCTGCACTACAGTGACCCATAGGGCAGGGAAGTTTTCCTAGGCAGGAAGTAATTGGATTTGGTATTGCTGGCTCTGATGGGCAATTTGCTTGTGACAGAGGACCGTAAGAGTTTCATTCAGGATGCACTGAAGGAACTTGCCTCTCAGCTCATTGGCCCAGCACCTCTCATCGTTGAAACTCTTCTGGATCATAACAAGAATGCTATTAGAGGAAAGATTGTGGATATCTTTCACCATCTCAGTTCACCATCAAATGGATTTTCCATTGCTTGGAATTGGTATTAGGCTCTGCATTGGCAGAGGCTAATGTGGTTGCAGAGTGAATTTATCTTAGTAACTAATCCTTGCCACCTCCCTGTGAGGTGATTTGTTAAGTATCTGACAGATGGGGAAGCATGGGGGGGAGAGGTGGTTTCAGAGCTGGGATTAGAGTGCTGATGTCCCAGGCTTCTGGTCCTGTGCCCTGCACAACCATGAAACCAGGGTTTCCTACCCATCTCCTGTTACTCTCTTGGAGCAAATTCCTATTGAACGTTATTAATAAAGACAACAGGAGAGTAATCCTGTTGTCCCAGTCAGGAGTGAAATTCATCTTTTATTTCTGTGGTATTGTATGGAATTTATGCTAACGGTCAGGAGACCTTAAATAACCGCATCAAACAGCCGGTTCGATGCCAGCCTTCCTTCTTATTTAGCTTAGTCTAAACTGACACCAAACTTTGAGACATTCCTCTCCTCCCACAGTGGAGAGCCGCTGGGATTTTTTTATACCACACATGGTTTCCCTCCTACATTTTCCTCCCATGTCAGATATTCATACCCCCTTTAATAACCAGCAGGGGGATCATTACATTGAGCTACTGCCAAATGCATAATGACTGCTGCCTTTGCCTTACACAGTCACTGCACTACTGATATCCAATTCAGCATTGTAAAGTGCTTAGGGCTGCCTTGGGGATGTGCTATATTAAACCCAAC